TAGCCCTAGTTTTTTATGCCCTAGTTTTATATAGGCCTAGTTTCTTATACCAGCCGAGCAGAGTTTACGCCAAACGCTGACACAGCCCTCCTGTCCAATACAAGTTTAGAGTACGTGGCCAAACGACGGGAATTCGGATAACTGGGGCAACATCAACCAGATGGCGCGAAATTTCGAAAAGGGTCCATGACATGCACGGTAACGACGTGCATTTAACGATGCAGAAAGGCGCATGTTGTGTATTCTCTGTAGCAGGACAATTATGGGCATTCGCTACGTCGGCGACCTGTCGCTTTTTAGGTCGTACAGTTGGAAGAACGATCGTTCTTAGGCCTGTGCGATGAGAAGTAAGAAGCGAACTGTTGCGTCTAAGCCTACCACCGAGGAAATATTGCATGATGAGTACCTTTCTCAGGCGTCGATGTGTACGCCGTCTGCTTGGAGCTCGTCCTGGTGAACAAACACAGTTTTCAGTAGCGTGCCCGGCGCAAGGCTAAAAAACTGTTTTAAATTTTGTTCTTTCGTGGGCGCTCCTCTTTCACTGTGATGCGCAATAGCTTGCTAGCTCTAGAATAGAATATGAGTCAGTGACAAGTTTTCCGAGTTAACTAAGTAAAACGAAGCCAGCGTGACTGCCGAACACTGTGTATTCAGTTCACATCTCTTGTGCTGCGACAATGCGGGAAGATCGCGCGTCGGCTTCGAGATTTCGACTTCCGCCTGATAAGGCTGGCACACATACACACAACCCCGTTTTTCGCTTTAAGTTGCGAAAGCTTATGTGCAAGTCCCCAGAGCATCGGAACATCTGTGCTTTATAATAAACGTGGTTACGAGTTCAAGAAGATACCCTGGGCGCGCGACATTCGAGACACGACACGAACGTTTCGGTGACTTAAACGTAACGTAAGAAAACGAAAGAAAAGCGGTGCCGTGGAAACCAGCTTTTACTTTAGAGAAAACAATGTCGATCGGTTGTATGCTGGTTTGCCGACCAGAAAAATGGTATACGGGCGCAATGTCAATGCCTTGGAATGCGATCATTCGGCGTGCCTTGTTACGTGGTGAAATCAACTTCTAAATCCAAGAGCTCGTGCTCTTCGCGCTCCATATATGCTTTAACACCTGGGGCCTCACATCCACACTTAACAGGCCTGGACCACACCGGTTAACGAGGCACGGGCCAGGGAGACGCTACCCTCCCTATCGGAGGTCGGGCTCGACAGGAGTGCACCGCCGAATATAAATTTTTCTCCCTATATTCCCCTTCCCCCAATGAGGCCATGGCGCCATTCTCACTAAAATAAAGTTATTCATCATCATCACACAAATAATGCTGTGGCTGGCCTCTGCTTCATGTACGGTGTCTGGAATGTGTCTTCGACTGGTGTTACGGCATCCTGGACTGCCTATGCATCAAACGAGGTTCAAAAGTGGCAACGAATTACGTCGAAAGATCCGGCGTGTTATGCTGCCAGATGTCGCGATCCTGGCACTTGGTATTACAAGCTCCGGCAAAAACGTTCGAGCGAACGAAATTGCCACTGCCGCTGCCGCGTCACCCTCTCTGGATAGAGACGCTAACATGAACTGACAAGCTGGAGAGCGACCCACAGCAGAGCGGTCGTCCGCCGTATCCACCTCCGCTGCTTTTTGCCACAGTCAGGATCGCGACAGGCGTGCCACCTTTTTGTGACGTCATCAGTCGGAAATCGAGGGACCACACAAAATGACGCGTTGGGTCTTCATGCGGAGCGCAGGTTCGTCTCCTTCTTGGCAGGTGTTGCGGTAACGTCAAAACGCCGAGCTCTGATTAGCTCTAATGAGAAAGATAGTGGGTAGACCTCAATGATGTAGCTGCCTTGAGGTCTACCCACTATCTTTTCAATCGGAGCCAATCAAACCTCGGCGTTTTGACGTCACCGCAACCCCTGCCAGAAAGCAGACGAACTTGCGCTCCGAACTGTCTCTGACAGCTTAAGAATCGCAGGGCTTGGCTTAATGGCTCACGCTATTGGCTCCGTGATTGGGCCCTTGGCATTCTTACGGGCTAATGCTGCAATCTGATTGAATGAAGCTGTGAGTGGCTAGAGTCGGAGACGCGTTCCAGGCTCCTTCTGTGAAAGTGTGAATGAATTACCATTGGGCTTATGTGAACCCTTATGCGACCGCATAAAGATAGGAATGTCTCGAAAGCCCGAAAGAGTAGCAACCGATGCTTCGCTATTGAAACTCTATTGGATCCAGAAGTTTTCTCTTCAAGTTACTCCAACCAGCTTTGACAAATTCCGTGTTTTGCACGATCGGTCGAAAACAATCGGTAAGTGAACACACCGTGAATGTGGCACTTCAGGCCAATAAAACCCGGGGAAGGCTACGAGCGCAAGCTTTTTTTCCTATAGGGAGAAAAGGAGATTAGTGCGGCGAGGAGATGTCAGAGCTTCCAGCTCTGATTGGACGGATTAGTGGGTGGGCGCAAAGGATGGCTGCTTTTGTCCTTTCCCACTGTCCCCCTCCAGTCATAGCGAACAAGAGTGTTGTGTTCCTAAAGCAGTGTCTCGTGCTCGAACTCCGGATACCGGCGTTCAGTGCTGGAACGCGCTCAAACGCGTTCGAACAGCGAGCAGAGACAAAGGCAGATCGTCTCTGCGTCTACCTGCAGTATCCTTCCAATCAGAGCTCGGCGCTCTGATGTCCCTGCGGACCTCCATATCCTCCTCTCCCTCAGTTTCCCTCCTTGCAAAGTTGCTTCAACATTACCGCTTACATAATAGAGGTGATGGGACTTTCGACAGCCTCGATCTAGCGAACGTGGCCTACACTGTACTTAGGTCAATGCTCTCCTAGTGCGAAAGAGAATACCCATACCAGACGCAGCCGACGTTACAAGCTGATGGGACCATATCAGACAGCGTCAAAAGTGCACCATCATGGTGTTCGTCATGTTCGTGCACGCGTTCTATCATCGCTGAATTAATCGTAAACAAAAGGGGTTCAGTGACTTGCGCTTTTGACACTGCTTGATTTGTACCATTAGCTCGTAGCGCCGGCTGCGTCTAGACATGAGCTGAAAGGAAGTATAGTTGTGACCATCACATACAACACTTTGTCGGATGCCTCAGCCAATAAACTCAAATAGATGTGTAGCTGCCAAGGTATAAGGGAGTTAGTTCAAATTACAAAGTTCGTACGATTAATCCTGACCAGTCAGGCTGCCGTATATTCTAACCGGATGAGAGTGTTTCCTGGAAAATGTTGCCGAGCAAACGTCCCGCTCCTTTAAACAAGATATCCCTCTCGGTGCCTATGAGCAAAGAAAGCTAAGTAACACTTAATATCTGTACGGTTACCCTAATATTTTTGTCTTAATATTTGAAGTTTTCTGTATTTTTCATTATATTTCTCTTTTTCGCTGCGTTGAAGATAAACATATATAGTAATACATTTAAAATATTCTTCGTTTTTAATCCGACCTGGTACAATATCCTTAATTTGAAAGAAACACCTCATGTTTTGCTAACAAATACTGCGCAGTGCGCGTTTATCGCCTCAAGAAAAAAATGAACTAGCCGTTTTCTCGCATATTGCAGGACACAAATGAAACATATTTCTTGTAATAATACCTAGAGGTGGTTTCATGGAGAACAAATATAAGCTCTTTTTAAATTATTCAGGCTAGTTTTATGCGCAAACGCTCAAAGAGAACGTAAAAGATTTTGTGTTGTATTTCATTCATTTCTCAAAGCTTCAACCTGTTGGAACAGGTTGAAGCCTTGAGGATAGACACTTCAAGTTCATAAACTGTCGCTCAGATATTGAACCTCGTTTGGATATGCTAGGTGCATTTCTTTACGAAAAACATTTGCGATGTACTTTATTTTCTTTCTGTAATAACTGAGAATAGACAAATAAAAATACATTTATGTACTTTTTTTGTTTGTTATTTAAACAAAACTCGTCCTTTTCCTCGAGAGAAAAAAAAAATCAGGTCTGAGCAACAGGTCGAGTTTCATTCAGTTGAACTAGCCGGAAGTGGTACCAGAGACTCCACGCAATGGTACCACAAAGCTTAAGAGCCAGATAAATGGATGGAAAAACATAAAGGTAAATCTACAGCCAAGAGCCATAATCTTTTTACCTCTTAAGGAAGAGATGGAAAATTGTATTACCCACTGCCAGCTCTTGTTTTGCTGCCCATTCAAGTGTTTTTCACTAATCCTTATGTGCGACTCTTTTTCCCTATCCGAGGAAAAGATGATGTCAACCGAGGCGTGAGCCTCGTTTACGGGGAAAGTCTCTACTCAGCTTGCGGGAGGTGGAAACCGATGAAGGTTGATGTAGGGATGTAGGGTACATTTGGAGATAGTCTAGGTTAAGAAAAAAGAGAGGGTCTGGTGAAAAGAACATTGACACCAATTAGGGACTAATGTTTTTAGCCCTTCAGAAATGGCCTAAGAGTCCTGTTCGTCTAACAAATGTCGAAGATGTCTCACTTTCCCGGATTTTCATCCTGGAATGTGAAAGGAACAGGGCCTCAAGTAGAGAACATTGCCTACAACCTTCTCTGCATGATCTTTCAGAAAACGTTCTGTGAGCCCTGTTATCTCCGGAAGTCCAGAAGGTCTTCGTAAGCTTTCCCAACTTTTGCACGGGGGTTACGAATGGAAAAGGTCATGAAGCAGACCATATCTCCTCTAAGGAGACACTAATGCCCACAACCTTCTCTGCATGTCCATTCACAGTTCTCTGAGTCCTTTATTCTCCAGAAGTCGAAAAAGTCTTCGTAAGCGTTCCCGATTTCTACATGGGAGCTACGAAGAGGATACGAAGGTATTGACTCCAACGAGGCACTAATGCTTTCCACCTTCTCTGCATGATATTTCGCAGACAGTCCCTAACATATTTCTGTAAGTCGCGTTTATCTACGGAACTCCAGAAACTTTTGTAAGTTTTCACTGCTCTTGCTCAGAGTTTTCCAGCCTGCTCAAACCAAGACTCACCTTTGTCCGAGAAAGCCGTCCGGGGCTTTCTTGTCGTCCGGGGCCGAACCTGCTGCCTCCGGTGAGCCGTGTCCGGCGCCCGAGGCGGCGGGAGCGGTGGTGGCGGCGGCAGGCCGGCCATCACCTCTTCGGACACGTCGGCCCTCCGACGGACACCGCTGTCCCTGCCGGACACCGAGCGACTGGCGAAGGACGGCGTCACGTGCGTGTAGTCCGGGATGATGTTCTCGATCTCGGCGATGCACCGTCCGTTCTTGCACGTCTGCGAGACACGTGAAGTGGGCCGGAGGCCCCATCGGGTGAGAACTCCGAAAAGGGGCGGCACAATTCGATTCGGCGTTGCCGGTGTCCTTTGTTTGCTTTAAGCACTGATAGACAGACTAGTGCATGATTCCAAGACTTGGCCACGCCTATCTAGGAGGAGGTGACATTTGCTGGTACGCCTATACGCATCGGAGTCCAAAGGCTGACCCTAGATAAATAAATGGGGCAGAATCTTCAGCTGAATCACTAATAAAACTATGTCAAGTGGTGATGAGTCTGGCATTTAGTACCGTAGATTCATTACAGAGTTGTAAGGTAACCATAATCATTGACAAAAAAAAAAAGGCAAGGCGTAGCGAGTATATAATTACGCCCTCATAGTCAATGGGATCGCTTGACAATAAGGACTCCAAAGTAAAAATTACGAAGAGAGGAGTGTTAACATATTAAATCACATCCTTCGCTTCTTCAGCTGTACGTGATTACAATTACTTAAGTTACCGTAATTAGTTACTTTTCTGTTTTGCTAAATGCTTTTCACCCCGCAAAGTAGCATCCGGGTGAGATGCAGTTTTTATGCGTCGTACCCAGATTTGTACATGTTATTCTAAATAAAGATAATCGATTACCATTGCATGTACTCTTGGTTAAAAAAGTATTCAATTAGATTACCGCAATATTTGATAAGGAATGTAATTGGACGTTACTTGAAAAAGTGACCGCTACCTTTCTGATCACTAAACTTTTTCAAACATCTCCAACGTTCTTGGACGTCATCACCTCGGCGCAAGCACTAAAGTGAGCATTTCAGATGAAGAACAACCAACATGACAATGCTCCCCGGGTATATTTTTGATGAGCCATGACATATCAATAGGCAGTAATTAAATCTCTTTACGCGTATAGTTTTTATTCCAAGGCTCTACAAATTGTTTTCCATTGAATTCGCTGAGCCACATTCACAGAATTATCTTCTTTTTTTTGACAAAATATTGTATCGCCCTTGAGAAATTTATTTTCCAGGGAATTTGATACTTCCTGGAAAACTTCTTATTCCACGGATTGTCCCAGAAAGTTAGCTATGACGAAAGAATTTTCTACCAAACGGGTCTTTCGTACTGCCCATATAATTGATATAAATCAGCTCACTATAAACTACTTATTATCTTAATATGCCAATTTTGGTAAACCATACTTCTCTCGGAGACTTGGATCGATGACTCCTTGGTAGGGAAGTTGTACAAACAATGGGTCGGCATGCAGTAGCGTCCTTGATAGTATAGGTTGGTGCTTGACACCAACCTGAATAAGTACCATAAGAAAAACGTCCATGTTGCGTGTGTGCGAACTGCGTCGCACGGTGTACTCATCCATTAAATATTCGGTCCAAGAATGATAGGCCATTCGAGATATTGTCATAATTAAAAGAATAATGCCCACGAATTTTTTTTAAATATGACATATAATTTTTTATGAGTCGTAGGCACAAAATATTAGAAAATTATTTCAAGCAAGATAGGGAAAAATTCAAAATTGTTAATTACTTTCAGCACCAAAAACTAGCAGGAAATAAAAAGAAACAAATAATAAAAATAAAAATCACCCTTCATTGACATCCACAGATTTTAATTGAAGTCGCCTATTAGGCGATAACTATGAGAGCACTGTCCACCAGCGAGTGTTCCATAAGGGTGGGGTAAACGTACTTTGAATATGTGGCTTCAATGCCTTTTTTCAGCGCTGCAATTAACCAGATGGCTAATATCATTACATTGTAAAGGCGCGTAAGGACAGAATCCTCCGAATGACTGATGCTTCGATATGAATGATAAAAGTAACGCAATTTAACTGTAGCGTAATCCTGCGTATGCGCAGCATATTTCCAGCCGCAAAAAGATAATTGTCGCCGTGGATAAAAAAAAAAAAAAGTTGGATGTTTGTGTTTAGACAGCGTAAGGTCGAACTTCATTTCAGGAGCAACGACGCTAGTTTACGCTGTAGACGAGAAATTTAACCAGCGCAGTAAACGACTCTCAGCTTGGTGTCTTTAACGTGGATCACGAGTAGCAATACACGACCGCACGCCGGTACGATGCTTACCCAGATCGGAACGTTGAGGGGTACTGATTGAGTTCAACACTAGCATATCCAGGACTTTTTTTTTTTTTTGTGGGGAGGAGGGGGGGGGGGGGGTGTACATTTGTATATTAAAGGGTCAAATGGCATAAGCCTGGACCTGGTGGCTACGCCACCGAGCCCAGGTTTCGCCTCACGTGCTCCAAGCCGCGGTGCGCAAACCCGTTCGACCACCGACTCTCCTGCGAGGCCGGCCGCAGTCACACTGATCATGAAAACGACAATTTTCAAACACTGTCTGAGTGCTATCCTTCCTTGTATAACGGTCCTGTGTCATTGGTCATACATAACTTGATTGAAGACAGGCTCGAAGCATACAGATATATGAAGCAAACATGCTCGGAACACGCGGGAGGGGTTCAGCAGATATCCTCTCATTATATCTGCAGGGAACAACCTGTCTTTCGTATGATGTACGAGTAGTGTGTCTTCGGCTTAACGCTCATCGCATGGAAACAAAGCCCTACAACACTTTATGCGTTAAAGATAAGACGTGCCACTTCAAACCAGAAGCCCTCGTAAAATTACCTTTCGCCGGCAGGGTATCGCCGCTAGTACCCTTTACCGCCACTTACGTTGGACGGCGACGCTTCGCCCTCGAGCCGTCAGCAGAGCTGTCTCAACTCGGGGCAGATCGGACAAGCGCTAAGGGGCTGACTGCGGATGACGTTGTTTCACCTGTCCGTCACCGCAGGGCGATCCCTCGGCGGCTGGCCGGTACGACACGCAGTAGCCGGACGAACTGTCGTAGCAGAACAGCTGCGCGCACACCCGGGAGTCCTTCTGCAAAGGCGCAACATGTTGCGGGACAAGCCCGTCAGGAAGCTTTCGCAGCACAAATGCACTTCTCACAAAAGAACCAACTGGAGCATGCACGTTTGCAAGAACGGCTTCTGGAAGCCGCTGTTCTTGAGGTTTGTGAGTGTAGTTGTCCGAGGTCTTGCCAATGTTATTAGAACAACTCAGTTGTGGAACTAGCGCGAAAAGTGGTATCCCCTTTGTTCATCGCAAATCGGACACCTGTCGTTTGAAACGCCATCTGTACTCCGAGCGCGGCCGACGGTACGAGCTTAGTGGCCAATCAAGCCGAGCCGAAAACGCAACGTCACGGCTTTCGCCGTCTTTCTGCGCATGTTCGTCCGCCCGCTTATCCAATTAAACGGAGAGGGTGCGCCGTGACTTTACGGTTTTTGTCTGTATGCGCTTCTTCGCTTCTTTGTCTTCTAGGCTCTGACCGCGCATGGACTTGAGATAAACCGAAGTAGGGAGGCTGCGTTTCAAAACTGTATTCTTTGGAGACGCTGAGATGAAGCGACATCTGTACTCTGTTCACGCATGAGCTGAGAGTTCGTTGGAAGCGACATGTTCGCCGCACCAATCTACCGCTTCCCCTTCCATCACCTGATCCCGCTCTGTCTCCGTGCTGGCATTTGCGGGAGCAGGAGAAACATGGTGAAAGACGGATACATTACTGGTCCCACGAGCACGTAGCATTCACCGCACTGTCAGCTTAGGGGTGAACGGAGTATAGATGCCGTGCTTCAAAATCTGTGTATTCCATACAGTATACACTGTATAGTTACCATTGCCGCCATCCCTGAAACGGTGGAGCGTCGAAGGACGACAGGCAAACCTATGGGGGAGAGAGGGGTGAGTGGTAATCACTGCACGCAGGAGCAGCAGCGTCCACGGGCTTTTCCCTAACTGAGTTGATCCGGTAACTTTACGCCTTGCTAAAGCGAGCCCACGGTTCCCAGGCCGGCGCCTCAACAAAGCGTGTTTCGACACACTGTGGCCAGATTGTGTTTTAACGCCCGGTAGCTTGCAAACGTGTATGTCTAGACGCGGGGGCTGCATATTCGAAAGAGCTTGTGCAGTAAATCAACAGGCCGATTTCAGCTCTGGTTAGTGCGTTGGCATAGACATCACATCGTCTAGTTTACATGGAGGATAAAAATCTGGGAGCGCTGGCTAAAGGCTAGCGCGGCAGTCACTGAGGCGTGTTTATCTAAACCGCGCTCCTCCCCCTCTCTCGCCCCGTAAACCAAACGATGTGACGCCCATCCAAGCGCGCCAACTACGGAGTACCGAATTTCGGCCTGTTGACTTACTCTACAAGATTTTTTTATTACGCGAACTGGCTGGCCTTTCTCACTCTTCCGCCGCGCTCTCTCTCCTACGAGTGCACCATTTATTTCTGTATAAATAGGTGCAGCCAGGAGCAATGCATTATTCGAGATCCTACATGACAACACTCCCGCTATCGCAGAAATATTGCGACTGCACTATCCCGCCGAGTCAAAGTTTGGCACCAAAATCAACTACAGTCGGGGACAGCTTAAAAAGCGCGAGGCGTAGTGCACCCCTCGTATGCTGATCATTGGTCCTTCAGTGAGTGAATCTGGTGTTAACCCAATACGACAACTTGTAGCCATATACAACAAGTTGTAGTTTGATACGACAAGTTGTAGCCCGATGCGACAAGTTGTAGCCCGATGCGACAAGTTGTAGCCCTACACGACATGTTGTAGTCCAATACGACAAGTTGTAGCCCGATGCGACAAGTTGTAGCCCAATACGACAAGTTGTAGCCCGATACGACAAGTTGTAGTCCGATACCGGGAGTTGTAGTTCGACCCGATAAGTTCTAGTCTGATACGAGAAGTAGTCCTATACGAAAAGTATCGGATACGAGAAGTATCCGATATCCCCTCCCCCCCCCCCCCCCCATAAAAAAAAAGAATAATTTTTTCTTTGGGGGGGTGTCAGTGTCCCTTTAACGACTTTATTGTCTAAATGAGCTCTTAACACGTTTTACTTACATTTTTTATGATGTTTCGTACAACTTAAAAAAAAAGTAGTTATAAGTCACGTTGCAGGTTTCCTTTTCGCCTTGTGATGGACTATTCTCGAGCACTGCTAGAAAGTATAAGTAAAGAATTTTTTTTTGTGTATCATAGAAATTATGCGGCGATGCAGCGAACACAATCAGTGTTGCCGGTAACGCGTTAAAAATAACGGCGTTACCGGCATCGCGTTATTTTTTCGGTAACGTTGTAAGGTACTCGTTTATTTTTAGACAGTAACGAATATCGTACTTAAGTTACTTATTTCGAGTTATGGGTTGCGGAGTAACGTTACCCTTACTTTGCTCCTTCTTACTGTTCCTTCTTACTACTTGCTTTGGGAAAGATATCAGCACTCTAGACGTTCATAGTACACAGAATTAATAACACAAAAAAGGCTCTTTTTGCTTTGTTTTTGTAAAGTCAAATATTAGAAATATTATATGGATCCCAATTGAATTGTCGTCGCAATATTGCTGCCAAATGTTCCACTAAAAGAAATAACACTGCATGAAAGATGCTAAAAATACATTACTCCATAGTCACGTATGGAGTCATGTATGGAGGCGAGTTCGGAGCGTCTAATCATTTTCGCACAGCAAGTGAGATCGGGAAATTGGGCGATAAAAATGCCGAAAAGCGAATCAAGAGGAAAAAAAAAACTGTATATACTATTTTATGCCATGCTTTTCTTCAGCTGCCAGCAACCATAGAGCAAAAGGCAACTAGAGTCACTGAGACCTTCAGAAACTCAGGGCATGGCAAATCATCGTCCCGCTTTAATTGCGCTGTTATTGGTCCTTGGGCGTTTTCATTGGTTGATACATCAGTCTTATTAGCTGCGGGGCGATCACAAGGCACTCGGGACTCGCCACACCCTGCGCTTGCTACGGCGTCAGCGACACTGAAAGGTTCTGACCGCTACGAGTAGAAGTCACTCACGAAACAGGCCGTGGTGCCCCGATCCCTCCGGCACTGGTCGTCCAGACTGAGCATGGAGCCCGGCAGCATGCGCGCCAGCAGCTGGTTTTCGTGCGGATAGTTGTAGAGACAGGTGGCCGTCTCGCCCAGCAGGAAGTGCCGGAACTGCTGGACGCTGCAGGGCGACCAGCGGAACCCGCGCTCGGTGTGCCGCAGGTCGCTCATGATGAAACCGTCCTCCCAGGGACAACGCTGGGCCCCGGGGCCACCCAGGTAACCGGGCGCCGGAGAACCGTCGTGTACGCATCCCAGCAGATGTCCAACTTCGTGCGCGGCCACTATGATGCCTGAAAAGCCCCCGCTGTCTTCGATTATGGCCACACTGTTCACCTTCTCGAGCCGCTTGTTGACCACGCAGGCGCCGCCCACGTACGCGAAGCCCGCCGTGCCGCGGTTGCAACGGCCGCCTTCCAGGTGCCGACGGCACATGTCCAGCTTGGTCACCACAACGGCGAGGTCGTAGGTCGGGAGCCGGTCTTCCCGGAACAGGTACTTGCCCATGTCCGTGAGGGCACCCGCTACGTCGATGGCGTCCTCATTGGGAGACCGGAGTCTGTTGCGCTCCAGGTACGGCGTCGCGTCGCGGTCCTTAGCGACGATCATCCCGGCCAGACTGATGCGTACCCGGGGCCCGTTCAAGAGCCTGTAGCGCAGGTCCACGCCGTTCCAGAAGCTCACCAGGTACCGCTTGATATCGGTGTGACTCCGGCCGTGTAGCAGGTACGTGTCGTAGTCGACGATGAGGAGGACCTCCGGCCACACGGTGTCGGGTCCACCGCCAACGCCGCGACGTCGTCGGCGCCCGCGAGATCGCGACGTTGAGGAACTGGCGTTGATGTGCCGTAACTGGATGTCCTCCAGGTGGGCGTAGTCGCTAATTTGTGATTCGTGAGGGACGCTGGAGCTGCTTGGGCGTTTGAAGACGACGTGACGTGGTTCAGGGCCGTCCTCGTCGAGGAAGCCTTCGTCGTCGGCGCTTCCCCGAACGTCGTAGTAGGTCTCGTCGCGGCTCACGTTGAGGCTGACGGGCAGCGGAGAGATGACGAGGTCGTGTCCTAAGGTTCCCTCCTGCGAAATGGCTGGCCGTTGAGAACTGAGAGGTACAGTCAGCGGCAATATGAGCTGGCCCAGACAAGTGCTTGCTGAAAGGGCTCTAATGCCGCATGCTCAGCTATAAAAACGACTGTGACATTGTGACAACACGTAATGTGGCTGTCCATTCCAGCCCCTTTTGTTACCAGTTTAACGCATACTTTGTGTGCAGCCCCGGCCGGAACACCGCTGGGCCAGCTCATAATGCACCACCCTGTTCCTAGCGCTTTCCTTTTCCCCCACTGTAATATGACTTAAAGGTGCATTTGTTGTAACCCAAGTGAAGCGTGATGAAAAATGCCTAGGCAAACCTACGTGGTTTTTAATCGGAATATGCAATCAAAAAACTGTTCTACCGTATTTTCCAGAGTCCACGTACTATATGCTTTTTAAAAGTGTTTACGCAGTGATGACTATCCATCGGAGAGGACTATACCTGAATTTGTTTCTTCGAGATCGTTCATTATGAGAGTCTGACGCAGCATGTGAATGACAGATGATGTTAATGATAATTTCAGTATGATACAAGGTTCTTTCTGCTTTATAACATCAGGCATTTTCCAGGTGTGCTATGTATGTGCATGTTTTGCATTCGAAGTATGCACTAGCTGGACTAAATACCGGGTAAAGTCTATAATCCGGAAAATAGAGTATGCACTAAAATTAAGGGCTATATTCCCGTTTTCGCTTCAGGTAGAAGGAAACATCGAAACATTGTCAGTAAAGTTCTACGAGTTGGCTCGAGTTAGTTGAAGCGTCGTAGAAACCGGCTTCCAGAGAACAGCCTGGTACCCTCACCATACGGAGACGTCCCTGGCTGTCCGTGCTGAGCACCAGAGCAGCCATGTTTGCCTTGTCGTGGTAGGCGCCTCCGTCCCAGCCTTTTCCCGGGGCGGTTTCATCCTGCGCAAATGAGGACATACGAGTGACGGACTGAAGATGGTGCGATAAGCGAAACCTTAGAAGATTACCCAAGAATGGGTGTCTCTACACTATGGTGCCTGGAACAGGTTTCCGACTGTCGTGTTTACCGGGTACTAAAAAGTGGACACTCAATGTTCTCCTGATGACGTCATTCAAGTGTCGTTTTGTCGACGGCTGCGATTCTGGCGGTGTCACAGAAGTAGAGGTAGTGCGTGTGTAAGACGCCTTTTCAGCTGCAGGTACTCTTTCTCCAGCATGACAGTTCAGGGGAAAGTTTCGGCATTCATGAGTTTGGGACGCTGCGACGAAAGTGACACTCGAACTCGTTCGTTGATTTTAGCCCGGGAGACTTCCAGCCCCGACCGCCAGGGTCGTGACATCCAACAACATAACACTCCGGCTTCTGTGATGTAATTTGTTGCCACTTTGGAACCACTTGTGATGGATGGGAGGGATCGGACGCTAAAACACACCTGTCGAAGACACGTTCCAGGCACCTCACTTTACACACAACCGTGGGGTCATAAATAAATGCAAGGAATCTGTGAATGGACAGCCCGAGAAAGACGCGTACGCGTATTAAGAAACAGACATGTACAAGTTACTGAAAAAAAGTGATTGAGTTAAGTGACTGAGTAGTGGCCCCAAAAGTAATTTGTGTAGAGTAGAAATTAGTCAGGTGGAAAGTAATTCAGTAAATGATTAACTACCGTAAAAACGTAGCAAATTACATTGAAAGTTATATATATATATATATATATATATATATATATATATATATATATATATATATATATATATATATATATATATATATATATATATATATATATATATATATATATCAGGGATGGGCAAAATACATGCAAATATGTATCGAAATACAAATACAAAATACTTCGTCAAAAATGTATTTATTTACAAATCTAATTACATTTCCAAAAAAGCATTTAAGTACAAGATACAAATACAACCAAACGTATTTGGTCTCCTCCAAATACTTTTCCAAATACATTCCTCAAAATTTGCGTCAGCGACTTCAGGGCACCTGCAACGGGTTTCTGGGTATCTCATTTTAATTTTGCATCGCACACTCGGGAGTTAATGTGCGATAGTAACGTAATAGAAATATAATCACAAAAAATGTAATCAGCTTGGACGTAATAGGTGAAAAGAGTACAGAGCTTCAAGCAGCTTTTTTTGTCGAGTACATTTTGGTATAGACCAACAAAGAACCGAGACGACCAAGACGCGCAGCACTAGCTAGAGAATGTTTTATTGTTGCAACTCGCACCAGTTACAGAAGTCTGGACGACCCGCACATTTAGAATGTTCCAGGCAAAAATATGGATGGAAATCAGGCTGGAAAACATCACAAGTTGTCACAGGCACTTATTTAGCCAGTCTGCCTGTGAACGTCGATTTCGTCATTGTTCTTGCCCTAGACTAGCACCGTAATCACAAAGTCACTAAACGCTTGTGCTTGATTGAGAGAGACTGAATTCGGTGCAAAACGTAGTTTTCTTCCTGCTCTGGACAGTCACAATAAATTTGAGGGCTGTATTTTCGCCCACAAAACTGTATTTAATTATAATAGTATTTGAAATACCTTCATTTTAGTATTTAAATACACACGTCAAATACATTACCGAATTTGTAATTAAATACAAATTCAAAATACACAAAGTATTTGAAATACGTATTTCAAATACTTGTATTTGAAATACTGCCCATCCCATATATATATATATATATATATATATATATATATATATCAAAGTTTTCAGAAACCCGCCGAAAGCCAAAAATTGGCGGAGCCAATTTTTGGCTTTCGGCGCGTTCCTGGAAACTTTGATTCTTTGATTCATTGGATTAAGTACGGTTCATTCATCTGCACATATTTGTTCATATCCTCCTCGGAGACCACGTACGATGGTGTGAAGTGCCCGTGTTGTGTATATATATATATTACGGTAACAAGAAAGCTCATGGGTTTTCATCCGTTAGATAAATTCTACTAGACAAGTATAAAGCTGCTTGTGTTTTTACAGAAATTATTTAATAGCTGGTTCTCCTTCTGCGTGCCTAGTTGTTTTACACTTTTTGTGTTTTTCGGTATATGATGTACTGCGGATGAATGATTTCTACTTTGAGGTTTAGCACTGCCTGAGCTTGATTTTTCAGACAGTGTTTGCTTGTTGCGTAAAGTACATCTTTACACAACAAGTATTGCGTAAAGTACATCTAAAAGTGCTTGAGGTAAAGTACAAAGTAAGTGAGAGCTTGTGCACTCCAAGTAAAGTAGTAAGTACACCGGGAGTGCAATGTACTTGAAGTAAAGTACTATAAATACAATGTACTTTCAAGGTAATGCACAGGTACTTTTAACACAATATTTCATAATACGCTTTCATCTCCTAGACAGCTTGTTTTTAGTGGTATTCCTTGCTTCAACTTAAGGCGTATTCGGAGGTGCATTAGTGTTTTCAGAAATGGCGGCGAATATTGGATAAAGTCCAGTCGCCACAGTGTAGTTGTTTTACTCTCGCTGACAAAGAATTTAACACAATCAACTTATAAGGCACTTATAAGTATAAGTCTTATAGCCGATACAAATAAATTTGTATCGGTCTTATAGCCGAAAGACGCTACGTCATTTCTTATTTTCCAACTTAGGAAATATTCTTTGCAGTTGGGAGTTGTACTTTTCTCGGAAAGTACCAGAATAAAATACTGTAATAAAGTACAAGTACATGCTCAGAGAATGCACTTCAAGTAAGTACGTTTTTTTTTTAAAACGACCATGCACTTAAATTACTTCCTAACACTGCGTGTCTAACATATAAAAAAAAAAAAAAAAAGAACCGAGACGGATAAGGACAAAACAACTCAATTGAGATGTCTTGTGTTTGTCCCTTTTTTCGTCCGTTCTTTTCGTTTTTTCTTTGTTCAAATGTGTGTAACATCAACCTGCTCACCTCTTTACTTACTCTTTCTTTAAACTGCCTGCTCACTATTTCTTATGTAAAAACGTTGGGGGAACTTCTAAGGTTTCTCGAACGATCTTCAGATCTCTAAAGGTCTGCATATTCTTAATTTTCGGAGAAAATGCAACGCAAAGGGGTCACCCTTGTGTTGCCTTTTAGCACACGATTCTTCAAACAGAGCACAAACTAAGGAAGCACCAGATGAGCTTCAGAGTGGGTGCTGCCTTTTGTTGCCTCCCTTGAGTGTGGATTCAGTGTGTACACCTGTTGTAGTGGGCGAGAGATCCTACGTTGGGAAGAAGCGGGTACAAGCACTTTCTTCAAATGCGTCAAGTCTCCTTGAGCTTCGGGATACAAAGAACCGCCGGTCTCCGGCTCTGATCCCGCAGTTACTCGGCATCACTTGCGACATGTCTGTCCGCTTCTCGCTCCTCGTAGCAGGCTTGTTGAGGTGGGGAGAGAGAGAGGGGGGGGGTCGTGAAAAGTTTAAGGGGTTTAGGACCCTCCAAGCCCCACCTGCCTACGTCACACGCTTCTTTCTATGCAAATATCAGCTGATCTTCCAGCATCTTATCTCTTTTTTTGCAGGAATGTTTGTTGATATGCGAAAATGCCAATAAAATTTCGAAAGAGAACTGTAAATTGAGTAGAATTTAGAGAGAAAAAGTAATTGAAGTGAACTAATAATTACCGATATGAAAATATAATTGAAAGTTACTAAACTACTCAGAAACGTAGTTAAACTGCAGAAACTAAAGTAAAGTAGTTTAAATACGTACAAGTCTGTAAGAAACACACTCAGGATACTGTAACTATCGACAGGGGAGATGAGTGGATGCTTTAACGGTCACGAAATGATATACAGGGTGTTTCACGAAAAGTGGACAAATTTTATATTGCGAAAACTACCCATCGCAACGAAAAAAGGCTCGTGTCGTTTTGGTCCAGAGCCAGGGCCCTATTTAGGAAAATTATTAAAGTCGGAGGTAATCAGATTGTTAATTATTTTAGTGTAATTAAGTTTTTTTCAATTTTGTGTTTAAAGGCATGGTTTCAATCAGAAAATTGCTCACCAACATCGAAGGACACTAAATCAACAAATTGCGAAACAATAGAAAGTACGCGCGGCATTTTACGGCTTTCTGAAAAACAGCACAAATTCGACGGGTTATTAAGTTTCGGTTTGCAATCGGAGCGCATGTCGGCCCCGACGGCGCCGCGCCTCGCGGAGAAATAGTGCAACCAACCTCTGCTGCGCTGTCGTTGCGCAACGCAGCAGGGGGTGGTTGCACTATTTCTCCAAGGGGCGCGGTGCCGTCGGGGCCGAGATGCGCTCCAATTGCAAACCGAAACTTAAAAACCCGTCAAATTTATGCGGTTTTTCAGACAACCGTAAAATGCCGCGCGTGCTTTCTATCGTACTGCAATTTGTTGATTTAGTGTATTTCGATGATGGTGAGCAAGTTTCTAATTGAAACCATGCCCTTAAACACAATATTGAAAAAGTTAATTACGCGAAAATAACTAACAATCTAATCATCCCGGAGTTTAATAATTTTCCTAAATAGGCCCCTGACCCAGGATTAAAACGACACAAGCCTTTTTTTGTTGCGACGCGTAGTCTTTGCAGTATCGAATTTGTCCACCTTTTGTGAAGCACCCTGTATACATTGTGTAATAAGACGGCGAAACACGTTTCAGTAACATCCGGGTATGTGCGGTTATCGGATCGCTGCATGTGACCACAAATGTTCTTTATGTGGCTAATATCAGTCGCAAAACAAAAACTAAAAAGGCCTTGTTCCACACCCAATTTTCTGGTGCTTAGGACCTACTCATATTTACTCCAGCTGACACTAAAACATCTAGACAGCCCGAGCGTGTACATGACTCTCCTGGCTTAGGTTTTTTTACTTCCATTTTATTAAAAAGCTGGCGTATGAAAGCGAATGTAGCTTCCGCAATTCAAACTTAACAGTGCCTTAATGTTATCCCTTTAAAGTAAAGCTGTGCGAATACCGGCTCGAATCGAAGAGCACTGTGTCATTCATAACCTTCACATTGGAGAGGAAAGCAGCGGCAGCCGGTTTCCTCTCCAATGGTTCTTAGAAGTGTGAAAACTATGGTTGGTACTGCACAATTCGGTTAGAACAGGTATTCGCACACCTCTACTTTAAATGAGAGTTCCAGCTGAGTTTTGCTAGTTACTAATTTGCCTCCAACCTGAATCAACACAGTAATAGACACATATAAACTAGTAACCCAAATTACAATTGCCAATAATTATTTTTGCCAGTGAATTTATTTTTAACTTTGGTTTAAGAGGCTGAAAGGCTGTACTGTCAAAACTTAAAAAGGGAACGTCAAATGTTTTAAAAGGGGGACAGCACTTCATGTTGCCGACAAATTACAAAAAAAGCTTGATGATGAAAAAAAAAAGCTGGTTAAGCCACCAAAAAAACAGCAACAAAGAAACAAAATGCTCGAAATACTGTCTTTTTAGACTCACTGCTCGACTTACCAGTTATACAACTTATGACGTCAACTCAATGAAGAGCTTGGGAAAAAATTAAGTGATGGTTTTGGCATAACCTTCACTTGTAGTTTTTTCAATAACTACTTTAAAGACAATAAACATCAGGCCGGGAAGAGTAAAGCCCGGAAATTAAATGTTTAGCGGGGATAGCAAACCACTGGGCATAAACGTATTTTAGAAATGCTTGAACTTCAAAAGATTATCCGCTGCAAAGAAAACACAATATATTTAAGTTCGTCTTTTGAGGCCTAGGCTAGGTGGCGCAAGTTACCATCCGTTACAAAGGGTATAACCATTAACATCCATCTATCCATCCGTCCCTCCATTCATAATGTGTATGTAGGGGTTTTGTTCAATGCAGTACCTTTTTAGATCTGTTGTCCTTAACGTGCATAACGCACTCATGATGATGCAAATGGACTCAGATGCATTACGTGTTAATGTTGAAACCTACTGGACAGGGAAGGCATTCGGGTCACCACGCCGGAGCCTGGAGTGCTTTCGCTTCATATACTGTCAAGCCGCGTTGCGGTGGTACACCGAGAGCCCAACGCGCAGACTTGCGAAAATCGCTAACTAAACATTGGGTGCAAGCAGACGGGACTTTCGCAGTCACGGCACATGTAATAGGAGAAAAAACGGCACGATGTTTACACGCCTAAACATTAAGGTGTGTGTGTTACCGAAGACGTCAACTATGCCTGCTCTAGTGTTGCTTTCTTTTATTCTTTTTTTCCCTCGGTGTACGTTAGAGACGCCTCTTAGGATCGTTAGGCGCCTCCCGCGTGTTCTGGTGACGATCAGCTGGCTTTTCCTCTAGAGACTGACAGTGCAAGAACGGCAGGACGACAGGGTGAAAGCGGCAGGGAAGAGATCCCTTTGTTCCTCCACCAGCGCGAGCTTCCCACCTTGGACAACGCCTCGGCTTCTGCTCCTCCAGCGTGTGCTATGGAGGCCGGGCGTTCTGAGCGCACGCCCTGTCGTTCTAATTCTGCCAGTGACTATCGCGGACGTATGGACATAAATGTAGATGACACAAAAAGCTTTAATTTTTTTAAATTTTTCTTACAGTTCTTTCTTATTTTGGTCATACTGTTAAAGCGGTCATGAAATTGATTTTCAACTTGTCCCTCCTTAGCTTTAATCCTCAACTCAAAAGTAAAAATAGAAAACACATGGTCGTGACGTGCTTGGGCACCGGAGTCGATGACTTCCAAGTTCCCACCGTACTTTTTAGGAACGCCGTAGAATTCGTCATTCCCGAGTTGCGATAGGTTCCGTCAGGGCACTCATTGGCCACGAACGCGAGTAGAAATATTCGTCGACGGGTTGAATGGTGACGAGAGCGTGCGCCTGAGGGATGCAGTGATCGTGTTCAATGCGCGAGCTGGGGTCGGCTGACATGCTTTGCGTACCGCAGATGAATCACAGTCGTAACGCGGAGAGCTTTTGAAGAAAAAAGAAAGGCGCGAAATAATCCGGTATATTTTCAAATTTTCGTACCGAAAAGTAGGTTTTTTACTTTCTACCCTCATTTTTTTGACCCACTAGACGATATTCGACTAGTAAAATCCTTATCTAAAATCATATATCCCAGGCCGGAACTTGCCGCAGCGTGTGAACGATGGCTTCCACTAATGGCTGGGAAATCCCCGGCAAAGAACGCTTTCCGGGGCGTGATAGTTTTGTATCCCCTTTGGGGCGTCGAGGTCCCAGGGTTCTTGACTAATACTAAAAGTCAGTGACGAAATAAGAACTGCAGGGAGGTTTTTCAGTCGCCCCGTCTCTAGCAGAAGCTTCATACCTTCAATTAAAAAAAAAAAGCAAAAAAACTTCGGCATTGTGTGGTTTTTAAGCGTGCACGTACACGCAATAATGCACGGTGGATGGAAACGAGCGCGTGTGGAGGCATCTAAAAGAGACGTCCCGACTCCGTCTCGGGTTTTAGTATGTCCAATAACGAACAACTTGCCTGCCTAGTAAGGTACTGTTTCTATTTTAAGATTTTGGGAAAATAATATTTTCCAATCATATCTAGGCGTAGCGATTGATCGCACTCAGTAGAGTAGTTTTGGTAGATCGTTCCGATCGCTCTGATAAAGATACCCGACACTCCGCCGGTGCCTTTGCGCACGCATCCCATCGTAATAGGACATCGTTCTCGAAGTTAACAGAAAATCGTATATATGTATATATATAAAAAAAATAAAAACCAAATATTAGCTCATGCAGACCGTTTGTAAATTTTTCCGGGTTTTAGATGTTCGTTTTCTACATCACGTTTTTTAGTACTCTGCAGGCAAGTTTGTGCGTGTGCGCGCTTGAATGCCGGCGTTTGTTTCCTTGTAAAACGGCGTTAGATGTGGTTTCATAGTCATCCTAAATCTCGCAACCTTCCGTGAGCCTCCTGGACCATCGTCGGTCTTGTATCCAACTGGGCAAAAGGTTCACCCAGCTGCTAGCTATGAACTCACAGGTAATAGTGTTACGACAGTTGCTATCGAGTCGTTTCTTAAGATAACAGATGCAGCGGCAATTGTGTCACTGACATCTTAAAAAACACAGGAGGTAGCTTATTACGTTGACGCCTTTCGCTTCGTAAGTCATTTTTCAGTGCTCTTGTCAGCTAATGCCGGCGTATTATTGGCTTCGGAACGGTAACAAGACGCCCGTGGCTCGCCTATGGACATGTGAGTATATAAACTAATCTATAAACTCATAAATCAATTTTGTCATTCACGTTAATAGGACTAGATAACCGAGTGCTTGGAAAGCATATGACAGCCTTCAGGCAGACATAGCTTTCCCGTCAGTCGCCAGCTAGCTTTTGTCCCGACAAGCGAGGCAAATACGTGGAAACCTTCTGGTTCCAGTCGTGCCCGGCTGCGCGTCCTGCCCCGGCGGCGTATTCGAAAAGGTTCGTGGGAGTGGTGAGTCCACAGGCCGATTTCTGCCCTCTGATTGGCGTGTTTTCGTGGACGTCAGAGTTCCTGGTTACAGGGGGGACAGACAGGTCAGGAGGAGGACGGGTGAGGGGGTCGAGGCTTGCATAAACACGTCTCAATGATTTACATGTTAGCCTTTGCCCGGCTCCCAGATTTGCTCACGATTATCGGGGAAGCAAATCTGGGAGCCGGTGGCTCAAGGCTAGCGCTCGACTCATTGAGGTGTGTTTGCCTAAGCCTTGTTCCCCCCCCCCCCTCCCCTTTTCTTTTTATCCCCTCGTAAACCAGGTGATGTGACGTTCACAAAAACGCGCCCATCATGTGCCAGAATATACCTTGTGCAAACATTCTAAACATCTGCATCAAGCAGCATATGCCACGTGACACTAAAGAGAGCGAGAGTAAAAGAGGGCAGTCGCTTGCGTGCTCTCGCCCATGTTTTCTGCGTCGCCTCAGTCGTCTGCTCGAACTTGTTCTTTACCTAGACTTCCCGGCAATCCTTTCGTCGCGGCCTAGGGAGCTGCACGTTTTGCAACGGATCTACTGGCCTGTTTGCTTACTCCACACGGTTCTCCGTATACGCGCCAGGGCTGCCAGCGTACCTTGAGGTTGACGGGCGTGTAGGCGAGTCCGTTGGGCGTCGTCTCGGCGGCGAACATCTTGAGCCTGGCGGCCCTGCGGTCGAAGTCCTTGTTGCGGTGCAGCCTGAGCGCGTAGCGTCTGCCGAACGCCGTCAGGGAGACGTCCTTGCGCGTGCTGGCCGCGTGTTCCGTGGCGGCCCTGACCGCGCGCCGTGCCGGGGCGCGGAGCTGGACGAGCTCGTAGCTGGGCACGTGGTCCCGGGACGCCACCCGGAACACCCGACGGATCTCGGCCTCCGACATGCGCTCGTGTACCTGCGTGTGAAGATGGGCGACCAACGGTTAAACCGACTCTGGTCACGGGGTAACTAAAGCTGCGGTAACACTGTTAAGGCACCATGAAGTGTTTGACTGTTATGGGCAGGTTCAATGCTTATATACCCATTTTGGCAGAGAGGAATGGACGCAGCAACAGAATTACGTAATCGTGGCTGCTCCACTTCGTAATTACGGTCACAGAATAGATTACAACCTTTTCATGGACCACTGTAACCAGCTCCCGTAGAGTGCCTCAATACCACTCTGTTTAGAGTGATTCCAATCTTTGTAGTACCCGATGCCGAGAGCACGCGCTCACAGAGAAAATACAAAGAAATCGTCGAAAACAATCCGCCGCCGTACCACAGTCAGCGCCAAGGGCGCGTGCAGGGATACACTCTTTCACGCACTTGCAGAACAAAACAAAAAAAACAAAAAAAAGATTTCGGAGCACAATGGCCAGATGTCATCACTATAAGCAAAGCGAACATGAAGGCACCCTACAGCTCCCCAAACATTTCCTTTGAGCTAATCTGTTCGATTGGCTTGCATTCAATGAGACGCTCAGTGCTGACTTAATTTAGTGCACGCTAAAAGCCTTCACGCTCGTAGTTGACAGTCTATGTAACAAATTTGTGAACAATCCGTCACATCCAACACTGAACTGCAGCCAAGGCAGGAGTCCACTGCAGGGTGTGACGAGCCAGTTAAAGAGCCCACGCTATATTCTTCCGACAAGCGTTAATCACGTGACTTCTAACTGACTCATGATTGGACCTGCCGACCCGTAGCGGACAGTTTCTATTGGCCAACAAAGAGCGTAATCATGTTCAGAAACATAATACTTCAGGCATTTATTGGCTCGAGCAACGTTACAAACTGACGCTTGTTCTCCAGGGCCCCTAAACTCGTCAAACACAAAGTTGGGGCGAAAGTTGACGGAGCACACCGATTGGTCTATCATGACGATGACTTCGCGCTTTTTTCGCCAACGTCCAATCAGCGCGTTCTGTGAACTTTTGGCTGCAACTTTGTGTTTGACGAGTTTAGGGCCCCAGCGCGTTATTTTGTCGTCAGTTGAGGGTGCTCAAAAGTAAGACAGATAGCGATCTTTTAGTATACGATAAACCTGCCGACAGAGTCTGTTCTTCCTTCACTGAGTGGGACAATCTCGTAAGTGTTCCCTTCTTCTTCCGTTTGGATGTCGCCTTATTGAAAGCTTAGGGACGATTTTAAGCACATTAGCACCACTATCAGCATTGGAGAGTCAGTGCACACGGACGGCAAACACGAACAAGACCCGCAACGTTCGCTCTCTTCCGCGAAGGTGCTAACGACACCCAACAACCGCTCGAAATAGCGGTTCGATCGCGATTAAAGGCACATTGGAGCCCGAGCGCATAGCCATGACGGGTAGACAAGCCTTCGCGACCGCTAAGCACCGCGCGCTGGGGGAGCCGATTACGAGACGCCATTAAGCGAAACCGATTGCGCAGCCCACGAGAATCGACGCCGCCAAGGTTTCTCCAAGAAAGTCGAACGCCGGAACCGATCGTTACCGTTCCTCTATAGAACACTTCATCCCCCTCCGGCCACTTCGCTACGCCCCCACAAATCCGCAGCAAAGGAGCGTGTGAATCGTTACCGCACACCATCGAGAGCGATCGATTGCGTAAAGCACCTCTCTCGCGCAGCGAAAAGCGCGGCCGCGGGCCCCACTTAGACTTCCTGCTTACCGGGCTGTATCAGGCGGAACACTTAGCGTATCGGCGAAGGTACCGTTTCCCGCCTCTCAAATATATACGGTGTATACGCGAACTGCGTCGGGTATTATAGGTGTCCACCAATAGGCCGGTTTAGGATAGCGAGGGGGGGGGGGGGGGGGGGGGGGGCGCACAGGCGTGCAACGGTGGTCAACTTCCCGAAGGCGTTGTCGGCTCGAACGCTGCCGCCGCGTGCTCGCCGCGGGGCGCGGTCGACTCGGCATGCGAGGCGGTGTCCGAGGCTGCCTGCCTGCCTGCCGGACCTCGAAGCCCCTTCCGTGACTGGGCGGCTCGAAAGCGAACGCTGGGGCGCCGGGGGTTAATGGCGGGGGGGCCCCCGCTGGCCATTGTGCAGCGCTCGAACAATGGCCACTTTGCCGGGGAGACTGGTCGCGGCCGATGTCGACGCCGAGTTGCCCAGTCTTTGCCGGGCTCGGCGTGGTTTCGTCGAGGTCTCAGGGCCGACGGGTCCGTCGGTCCTGGGCAGTCGGTCGGTGGGACAGTCGTGGTGGACGTCACACGCCGGTGCGTGCCTTCGACTGGGCAGTCGTCGGAATATGATTCGCCTCGAAATGGGCCCCATTCGGCGTTGATCGAGGGTCCCCGCAGTATACTTATGTAGATCTGCTTCCCTCGTCGTCTATCATCTATGTAATGTAGTCTGCTTCGCTTCTTCGCACTACGCCCAGTTACTTAATGAGTGTTCATGTTTGTCAAGTAACTCTCCCTCACCTCCACGGCTAAGTAGGATAGAAGTTGCCTCCGTAGACAACAAAGACCCACATTCGTTTTGCGGCCTATGCCTGTTTCCTTGCACGTGATTGCTCGTAAGTTACGCATAGAGATACTAACTTAGCAACGCCTAGGGTACTGTCTCTTCATTCCCAAATTTTCTTGAGGGCGCCGCCATTTTGTTGCTCAGTGCATAACGGGCGCAATAGGCCCATCTCCCTGCCAAATTCATTTTGCCACCGCTACCCCCATGTATCGTTGGAAGTGCAGACTTCCCGCACGAGCGGCAACACCGCTGAATGTCTGCGAGGGCAGAGCACGAAGCGGCAAGGGCTGTTTCGTGAACTGGCACCTACCTTTTATGAACTACAGTTATGACGGCGTCACGCATGCGTGGAACGCTTAGTGCGATCGGTTTATTGGCGATCGTTACAATTTAGAAATTCCGCTTCCTGAACTTTAAATACGCGATGAGAAAGTTCAGGCGCTATCGTCTTGCTCCATTCCGGTCTGTTTTAATCTTTCTGGTGGACAGAAAACCGCCTCCTCCGATTTCTGATAAAGCTTCAGATAACCTGCAGCAATTATTTTAAAGACTAAGATGGCTTAAAAGTCGTTACTTTGAAGTGCAGCTTAATGAGTGGCTGCAATCTCACACAGGATTTTTACTGCTTATCAAATATGTTGCACCTCAATTCTACATAATTTTTTATCTCACCATCTCCTCTATAACTCAAGTTTCAAAACAATGCGGCGCTTCTCCCAGGGCAAGCCTTGTTTTCGTATGAACCCAGAAACCCCACCACCTGAATAGGTGAGCGGCGTTTGGCAACTTCCGGTTCCTTAGGAAATTTTGTTTCACTGTTGACAAACGACGACTATGAGCTGCCATCCTGTGCAAGCATAATCCTGAAACTTTCAGGCTGTAGTTTTCAGAACCATATGCTTAGACAGGCTTCCAGATGATTGTCGTTGTTCGTCAATAACTAAACAACATATCTTAAGGAACCGGAAGTTGCCAAACGCCGCTCACCTATTGCTGTCTTCCTTTTAGTTTTCTTCGCATGAATAGAGGTGCTAACGTGACTCACTGCCAGTGCGGAGCGCTTCTAAATCGCTTAATAAGTTTGCCGGTGAATTGCGCCGTCGTCTATGGTATCTCCTAGTGTCACTAGTATCTACACTTAAAATATCCGCGGCTTAAACACTCCAGTGATGCTCCTCCCCTAGTGAAAAAGCCATTTGTATGAGAAATTTGTTGTGTCCAATAAACACATATGAATCATACAAGATATATAAGAACATATAAAAACTATATAAGAACGGTGTAATAACATATACGAACTATATAAGAAATTTATAAGAATGTTATCACAAGTATTTTTTTTTTATTTGGTTCTTATATGTTCTACTATATCTTAAATATAGGGTGACCCAAGTCACCAGGCTTGATCTAAAATGGACCGTAAAAATCGACGCCTGCACGTAGCAATCCAAACTTTTCGCTAAAGGTGTATTTCACAGGTCGATTTTTTCTTGAAAAATTACAAAAGCGTAGTTCTCTTTCCGTAAAAAAATAGGGTCAAGAATCTTGTCAGGTGAACGGCGGGCGGCGACGCAGACGACCAAGTAGAGTAGCGGAGCGAAATTGGCGCGTGTATTGATAGATGGCGCTACCGCCTTATCGCGACGGCTGGCGACCACTTTAGTTTATTAAAATGAATATAATCTTCTGGAAATGTACGTTTCGTTAAGAAATAAATGCGGACAGTAAAAATAAAACTTAAAGTAAAAAAAAAAAAGCGTCTGCATAACGACGGCTCTTTTGCTGCCAACGAATTTCATCTGCGTGTCGTCTGCTTTCTTTCCCTGGTCGGCTGCACCTTCCGACGCTGCTACCGACGCCAAACACCAAACCCACCCCGCTACCCAACTTGGTCTTCTGCGTCGCCGCCTGCCGTAGACCCTGGCAAGTTTCTCGGCAATATTTTATTACGGAAAGAGAGCTAAGCTTTGTAATTTTATAAAAAAAAAAAAAAGGAAAGCCGTTTACAACTGCCTGTAAGGCCGAATTAGAGCGCAGCTCTTGAGGAGGAGGAGGCAAGGGTACTGAGAGTCACGTGTTCTCGGGGGGGGGGGGGGGGTTACGTGACCTGGGGGAGGGGTCATGTGATCCCCCCTCCCCGAGGTCACCAAAGGTACTCGAGGTCCTCCCGAGGTCCTCCCGAAGGAACCCGAGGTCCTACCGAGGTCCTCCCGAAGGAACCTGAGGTCCTCCCGAGGTCCTCCCGAAGGAACCCGAGGTCCTCCCGAGGTCCTCCCGAAGGAACCCGACGTCCTCCCGAAGGCCTCCCGAGGTCCTCCCGAAGGCCTCCCGAGGTCCTCCCGAAGGAACCCGAGGTCCTTCCGAAATCCTCCCGAAGGAACCCAAAGTACTCCGAGGTCCTCTTGAAGGAACCCGAGGTTCTCTCGAGGTCCTCCCGAAGGAACCCGAGGTCCTTC